AGGGATGGACAGGGCTGGCAGCTTATTGTACCAGGGTATAGATGCTACAGGAAGGATAGAAAGGCAAGATAAGAGGGGGAGTGGTGTTTTTGGTTGGGGAGAAAGTTACAGCTGTACAAAGGGAAGATGTTCCTGGAAGATGGTCCATTGAAGTTATATTGGTGGAACTTAAGGGGATGATCACTTTGTTGGGATTGTATTATAGGCCCCCAATAGTAAGTGGGAAATTGAGAAGCAAATATATAAGGAGATCTCATCTCTAGCATAAATAGGAATATAATGATAGGGAATTTTAACATTCCAAACATAGACTGGATGTCATGGTGTTAAGGGCTTGGGTGGGGAGGAATTTGTGTGTACAGGAAAAATTTCTTGCTCAATATGTGATGTACCTCCTAGAGAGAGTACAATGCTTGCCCTTCTGTTGGGAAATAAGGCAGGGCAAGTGTCTGAGGTGTCAGTAAGGGCTCGCTTTGGTGCAAATTCTATTATTTTTAAAACAGTTATGGAAAAGGATAGAACTGACCAAAAAGTTAGTTCTAAATTGGAGTAAGGCCAATTTTGACGTATTAGACGGGAACTTCCAAAAGTTGATGGGGGGAGGATAGTCACAGATAAAGGGACACTTGGGAAGTGGGAGGCTTTTAAGAATGAGAGAGAGTTCAGAGACAATATGTTCCTATTAGTTTGAAGGGCAAGGCTGGTAGGTGTAAGGAATGCTGGATGTTGGTCAAAAAAAGCATAATCAGGTGTAAATGGCTGCGATTGAGTGAATCCCAGAAAAGTATAAAGGCAATAGAAGTATACTTGAGGGAAATCAAGAGGGCAAAAACAGGACATGAGATAGCTTTGGCAAATAGAGTTAAGGAGAATCCAAAGAGATTCTGTAAATACGTTAAGGCAAAAGAGTAACTAGGGAGAAAATAGGGCACTTTAAAGATCGGTGTGGCCATCTATTTGTGGAACCACAGGAGATGGGTGAGATGCTAAATGAATATTTTGTCATTATTTACTGTGGAGAAGGACTTGGAAGCCAGGAAACTTGGGATAATAAATATGAAGACTTTGTAAGACGCAAATATTAAAGAAGTAGTAGTGCTGGAGGTCTTAAAATGCATAATGATAGATAAATCTTTGGGACCTGATCAGGTGTTTCTCAGAACTTTGTGAGAAGCTAGAGAAGAGATTGCTAGACCCCAAACTGAGATATTTGTGTCATCCACAGCCACGTGTGAGGTGCCAGAAGAGTGGAGGTTGTCTAATGTAGTGCCATTACTTCTTTTTAAAAAAAAAAAAAAAGGTTAGAGAAAATCCAGGGAATTGTAGACTGGTGAGCCTGACATCAGTGGTGGATAATTTGTTGGAGGGGATTCTGAGGGACAGGATTTACATGTATTTGGAAAGGCCAAGGACTGATTAGGGATAGTCAGCATGGCTTTGTGCATGGCAGATCATGTCTCACTATCTTGAGTTTTTGAAGAGGTGATAAAGAAGATTTGAAGGCAGAGCTGTAGATGTTGTCTATATGGACTTTAGCAAAGCGTTTGACCAGGTTCTGCATGGTAGACTGGTTAGTAAGGTTAGGTCAAATGGGTGCTGCGGAGCTAGCCAATTGGATACAAAATTGGCTTGAAGATTGGAGACAGAGGGTGATGGTGGAGGGTTGTTCTTCTTCATACCAGAAATCTGTGACCAGTGGTGTGTAACAAGGATCTGTGCTGGGCCCACCGCTTTTCTTCATTTTCGTAAATGATTTGGATGTGAATAAAACCAGTTAGTTGTGGTTAGCAGAGGTAAGGTTAGTGAGTCTGCAGATGACTTCAAAGTAGGTGGTGTACAAGATTATCTCCAAGTACAATGAGACCTTGATCAGATGGGCCAATAGGCCAATGGGTGGCAGATAGAATTTAATTTTGATACATGTGAATTATTGCATTTTGGTAAGGCAAACCAGGACAGGGCTTACACAGTTAATGGTAGGGCCATGGGGAATGTTGCCAAAGAGAACTAGGAGAGCAAGTATATAGTTCCTTGAAAGTGGAGTCGCAGGTGGACAGGGTAGTGAAGAAGGCATTTGGCGTGCTTGCCTTCATAAGTCATAACATTGAGTATAGGAGTTGGGATGTCATATTACGGCTGTACAGGACATTGGGGCCACTTTTTGAATACTGCAAACAATTCTGGTTGTCCTTCTGTAGGAAAGATTTTAGAGATGTTTTCAGCACTAGAGGTTTGAGCTATAGGGAGAGGCTGAATAGGTTGAGACTGTTTTCCCTGGAGTGTTGGAGACTGACCGGTGACCTTTTTAGAGGTTTATAAAATCAAGGGCATGGATAGGATGAATAGCCAAAGTTATTTCCCTAGAGTGGGGGTGTCAAAATCTAGAGGATATAGCTTTAAGGTGAGAGGGGAAAGATTTTAAAAGGACCTGAAGGACAACAACTTCACACAGGATGGTGTGTGTATGGAACGAGCTGCCAGAGGAAGTGGTAGAGGCTGGTACAATTATAACATTTAAAAGGCCCCTGGACGGGTATATGAATAGGAAGAGTTTAGAGTGATCTGGGCCAAATGCTGCCAAATGGGACTAGATCAGATTGGGATGTCTGGTCGATGCGGATGAGTTGGACTGAAGGGTCTGTTTCCTGTATGACACTGTGGCTCTGTGTTTCAGGCATAATTGCTCTTCAGGAAAACTATTTTTCACGGTTGCAGTGTGGTATCGCCAAACGAGGCAAGTGTGCCTATTGCTACTTGGATATGTACCTTGTCGAAGAGCTAGAATATAAAATCTAAAATGCCTTTGTACTATTCTGGTATACTTCACACTGCAATTTTATTTGATGTCTCTGATTTTGATGAACCAGTACACTGTGTTTTAGATTTTAAGTTTAAACACAACCTTGAGTTTTGGTAGGTGAGTGAGTGGTCAGAGGAACATAAACTCTAATCAAAGAAAATACAAATTGTCAGTTTGAAATTAATTAGTGTCAACAAAATGGGTGAGAGAGAATGAGAGGGGCAGTTGGTTTTCTTTGCACCAAACAGCATTTGAACAATCAGATTGCCGTCTACTGAGTGATAAGTAAATGCTGATACATTCAACAGAATGTTGTAATTTTAACATTGTCCATCTGATATGAAGCAGTTTGTTTAAATTGATGACATTCATAATTAGGAAACTAAAGTTAGCAGCATTCTGAGGAGATGGTCCCTGAAAAAACATGATGTTGGAAAGTATACTTTAGCCAATGCAACAGTATGCATAAAAGCTGATATTGTTTCTTATAATTCAACCTTGTGGAAACTTTGTAACCAGACATACTTGTACACCGTGACCAGAGTCTGCAGAAGTGCAACCAGGAGGTTATTTTTCCACTTCAATCACCATTGATCTGACTTTGAGGAAGTTGGCAGGTTTATAACCTCTGGAAGTCCTGTAAAATGGTGCAGTGAGATCACAAGTGTTATCTTTCCTCTGACAATGCGATGGAGTCTCTTTAGTTTATCAAAACTAATGTGCCCCAGTATCCTATACAGATTGGAGTAGGGTTTCTGTCTACCTGTGGTTTGCATAAAATTCTGTCATTGTACTAGGTCCAAAAACTGAATGTAGTGAGGAATTGATTTTAGTTAAATTTGATGATTTAAGCTTCACTGACAGTCCACCCGGTGGAGGTTGTCAATAGCTGATCCCTGAAAATGAGCTAAGTTCCATTTTGATTTTTCTTTTTTTTTGCAACTTGTTGTTTTTAAAGTGTTAGGTTCCAGGTTCAATTTCTGATCAGTGTTTCCCTTGGTTGATTCTGACCTGGACAGTTATGTTGTGCTTGGTGTTGGCCATTTAGATTAGGAAGGCGTGAAACTGGTTCTGATCACTCTAGGAAGAGTGTAACCAGTACAGGATTGGTTTCACCACAATATTTGCCAAAGTGACTTCCAGATGTTATTTGTGCACCAAGATATTGACTCACTTGACCAGCAGCTGCAAGAGAAATTAGTGTATTTTCTTCATACCTGACTCCTAATTGAATGTTGAAACTGTAAAGAGCGAGAAATTAGTTTCTATTAGGATCAGATGTGAAATCTACAATTTTGATTAAATTTGGTACTGTACCCAGTTCTGGGTTTATCGGCTTTTACTTAACAGCAATAACTTCCATCCTATGATAGTCTTGCCTGTCCCCATACCATTAAAAGAGGCATAATGTTCCTTCTTTCCAGGTGTCTTGTTGATTCCATCTTTGCCTCAAATTTAAGTACAAAATACACAAAAATATTACAGCATAGGAGGAGGTGATTTGGTGTCTGCACGCAGTTTAAATGAGCATCATGACTTAGTGCCATTTTCCTGCCTTTTCCACATACCCTTGCACAGAGGATGATAACAATGCCCTACGTGATCCAAACGTACTTGCGTGTCCGACCAGAGTCTGCAGGAGTGTAATCAGGAATTGGTTTCTCCAGTTCAATCACCACTGATCTGACATTGAGGAATTGGCAGGTTTGTAGCCTCTGTCAGTCCAGTAAAATGGTGCAGTGAAATTCCTGTCCATCTCCCAACTTCGTTCTCGAGCGCATCTCAGACGGTGACCAAAAGCAGCACAGCGCCACCTCATTCCTCCTCCACCCAACATATGAAGCCGACTTCCATTCTTGGAATTCAGATAGGGCCGGGAACTCGTGGAAAACTTGCCTCTCGGCCAGGAATTTCATAGGCAAGATTTCTCTGGGATTGCTGAATTTACTCAAGTCTCTACTCCCATAGCCAGGTATAAACTAGAGAAAGTCTGTGCAATGGTAATGTCACTGGGCTCATAAACCAGAGGACCTGGCTAACTGAAAGAAGCACAGCTTAAAATTCCACCACAGCAGCTGGGGAAGTTTAAATTTAACCCCAAGTAATAAATCTGGAGTCAATAGCTAATCCGATATGGTTATCAATTGTCAATTTTTAATATTTCTCTCATTATACCTGATAAACTATGAATTTGTTTCAGATTGATCAAGATGGATTTCAGCAAACTTCCCAAGATACGAGATGAGGACCATGAGACAATGGTGGGATATGTCCATGGTGTCTCTGGTCCTGGTGAGTATTTCATTCGTTTCCATATCACGAAACAGCTGGGTTGCTGCAAAGGAATGTGTGAAATGTGTTTCTTTGTATCAGCTAAAGATATCAGTCATCCTAAAATATTGCTGATGCACGGAAGTCATAGACTTATAGTGGACAGTGACTTCTATTTGGTAGGGGTTAAGATATAAGGTCTTTTATAATGCCTCTTTACTCATCAGGTTCTTCCTCCTAATTTCAAGGGCAACTGTCAAAATTTGTTTAATGCCTTGCAAATGTGTTGCAAATTATTCTGTTCCAAATCTACAATAAACTGCCATCCAGAAACCATGATCATTCAGATTTAAATGGGCAATGCTTTGTGCAATTGCAAAGTTCTGTTAAGGTTGCTTGCTTTCAAGGATGTGTTAACTTGTTTCTTTATTCTCTCTTCCAGTTGTCACTGCCTCTAATATGGCTGGGGCAGCAATGTATGAGCTGGTTCGTGTAGGTCACAGTGAGCTGGTTGGTGAGATTATCCGTTTGGAGGGCGATATGGCAACAATCCAAGTCTATGAAGAAACTTGTATCCTTTCGGCATCGATTAACAGTATAAACTTGAGGAAGATACTCAATAGAACTTTTTTTTTCTGGCGGACTGAGGAAATTTGTTTTCAATGTCCATTTTGAGCATGCAGTTGACTAGACAGTTCTAAAGAAGTGCTATATTAGACTCCAGGTTATAGTCCAACGGGTTTATTTGCAAACACAAGCTTTTGGAGCCTCAGCCCTCCTTCAGGTGTTAGGAGGACTGAGGCTCCAAAAGCTTGTGTTTGCAAATAAATCTTTTGGAGTTGAACCTGGTGTCATGTGATTTCTGACTTTGTCCACCCCAGTCCAACACCATCTCCACGTCATATATTAGACTGGATAGATTGACTGTTTTTTCCCTCTACGCAGACCTAATAAGTTTCTCCAGTGCTTTGTTTTTAATTCACATTTTCAACATCTGAAAATTTTGCTTTTAGCTGACTAGACAGAATGAATCTTGAAGGAAATTATGCAATTGAAGGACAACTTACACTAGTGATGAGCTCTTGAGCTAGTGATAAGAAAAGACCAACTGGTCCTCAAGATTGTCTGTCCACAGATCTGCTCAAACTCAACCTGACGAATCATCCAAGGATGATTCGTGTTTTTCCTGTAATTTTCCAGGGTAACATCATATATCATTTTTAATCACATTTGCCTTGGGCAAGGAATGTTTCTTAGAAGCTTTTAGTTGCATTTTTAGTGTCGTGCTACTTGCTCCCTTCCCTCTTCTAACGTTATGAAATTGACTAACAAGGGAAAGAAAAGCTGGCTGATTCATCAGTCTTGTCCCCACACTTCATAACCAGACACTTCCTTTATCCCCTTACCCTACTACAACCATGCGATCACTTGGAGAGGCAGAATAACCCTGGGCCAAGGAAGTAAATGTACTCGCCTGACTGAAGGTAGCCACATAATCCGTAAAATTATTTCACAGGTGACGGCTTCCTTTTAGTAACTTGTTCAAGTAGCTGTTCTTGTGTGTGGGCTTGAAAAATTAGTGCAGGTTTTACAGCCCTTTAAAGTTTCATGGAGCTTGGTTAATCATTTTATCAGAAATGTTGTTCGTGTTTTTTCTAAGCACTCACCCAAAAGCTGGTGTATCTGTTGGAGATCCAGTCCTTCGTACAGGGAAACCTCTTTCTGTGGAGCTGGGCCCTGGCATCATGGGAGCCATTTTTGATGGGATCCAACGACCACTAAAGGATATCAATGATCTGACGCAGAGTATTTATATCCCTCGTGGTGTCAACGTGAATGCACTGAGTAGAGACTTGAAGTGGGAATTTACTCCTTCCAAGAATATGCGAGTAAGACCTTTCACTAAATCTATTTGATTCTCAAAAAGAGGCTGCCTCTTACTAAATATGTTTTTGTTCTTAACTGTTTTGTAATGAATTCTAAACTATGCATCATTCTGATACCAGTATAATCATTTAGTACTTTTCTCAGTAATAAGAAATAGCTTGGATTTGACAGAATTTAAGAAGCCTGTTGACTTCGGTCATATTAGCTCAACTCTGTCTATAGTTAGTGACCTTGTACCATGGCAACAAGAACCAATGTCTGTGAGTTCTAGTAATAGCTGACTATTGGGAACTACAATTTATATTGATTATTTTGTTACCCTTTGAACTCTTAATTGTTTATTTTTAGGTTGGTAGTCACATCACTGGTGGAGACATATATGGATTTGTCTTTGAAAATTCTCTTATTAAGCACAAGATCATGCTTCCACCTAAAAGCAGAGGAACTGTTACGTATGTTGCCCCACCAGGGTGCTACGATGTTTCTGTGAGTATGCCATAAATCTGAACCAAATGTGTTCCTAGTTGTATTGATTGCAAATCTGTTTCACAATGTCAAGATGATTGTGATCACACTTGTACGTTAACATAAGAGCTATGAAATGACCCAGCAAAGAACTCTTCTCAAGCGCAATTGGTGATGGACCGTAAAGCTTGCCTTGTCAGCAACACCCATATCCTCGGAATGAGTTTTTAAAGAATATTTGTCTAATAGAAAGAAGTCCTAAGATGTTTTGCAAAGCTGTAAGCAAAGAGTATGAGTTACTAGGAAAATGACCAAAAGATGGATTTGAAGGAGGGTCTTTTAAGGAAGAGAGAACTGGAAAGGCAGGAAAGTCAAACTTCCTTGTGAGGATGGTTGAATGACTGAACGCCTGGCTCACAGCGAAGGGGCTGAAGTGTGCGGTGAGGTACAGAAGAATCTTGACTCGCTCTCGGGCAGACTTTGAACTAAGGAAGAAGCAACTTGGATCTGGAGAAAACTTTAACAACATTTGAGTTGTGCCAAAGTCCAAAACCTAAGCAAATTTGGCTTTTATTTGTTCAAGTGTATTGGCATTGCTGGCAAGAGCAGCAATTATTGTTCATCCTTAACTGTCCATAAAACCATGATGGTAAGCTACTTTTTTTGCAACACTGTGGTTCATCAAATAAGGCATCTCTCTCCAAGCCGTTCGGGGAAACAGTTAGGTATTCTGACCCAGTGACATTGAAGGAAAGGTGGTGTAGTTGCAAATAAGGATGGTGTGTGACTTGGAGGGTAAGTTGCAGGTGGTAGTATTCCCATCTGCCTGCTGGCCTTGTCCTTCTAGGTGGTAAAGGTCACAGGTTTGTGATCTGCTATTGAGGGAACCTTGGGGAGTTGCTGCAATGCATCATGTAAGTGGTATAAACCATTTTTCCCTCTAAGTTATGCAACTGCTCAGAGGTTCCATGTACATCAATCAGCATGCCAACACAGACTTTCAGTTCCTGAAGTCACTGAAGACCCTGGAGGTCCACAAGGCAACAGGGAAAAATTACAGGCAATGTAGGTACACACAGCAGCCGCTGTGCAGCTGTGGTGGAGAAAGTGAATGTTTATTGTGGTGAATATATCTTAATAAATGAATTTAACAAAATCTCCAAGCGCATTTAGATAGCAACAAAGCTGTTCAAATAGCAATCCTTTGTGAAGATGGTAATAATCGTTTCTTGCTCTTATTTTCTCCTCCTTCCTTGTAAAGGATGTTGTTCTGGAACTTGAATTTGAAGGCATTAAAGAGAAGTTCACCATGGTTCAAGTATGGCCTGTACGTCAGGTAAGGCCAGTCACTGAGAAGCTCCCAGCAAGTCACCCTCTGCTGACAGGACAGCGTGTGCTGGATGCACTTTTCCCGTGAGTCTATCTTCAACAAAATACACCTTGGTTCAAACTCAGACTTATCAAAATTCCCAGCTGCAGCGCCTTTTCATAACAATGCAACAGACTGATATAAAAAGCAGCATTTAAATTCCTGCCAGACACCATCTGAAGCTGAGATCAGCTGCTGTTTGGTCTCGTGTAGGATATGTGCAAAAATCATGGAAGGTGGCAGAACAGGCTGACAATGTGCTTAAAGTCATGTGGGATCCTAGATTTTATAATTAGAAATAGAATACAAAAGCAAGGGTTTTACGAGAGATCGCAACTGATCCAGCTGAGTTGCTCTTGCAAGTGACCAGCTTAGGCAGGATGGACTGAATGACCTGTCCTTGTCCTGTAGTATTTGGTGATTCCATACCAAGATGGCTTTCTGGACACAAACTGAAATTCTGCTAGAGAGACTCAAAAACTGTTTCAACTGGGTACCAAATGTCAGGTTTTGAAATATAAAATTTCCTGATTCTGACCCAGAGCCACGTGCAATGTGACTGTTACGGGAGTTGATGTGGGCCCCAGTGATGCATGAAATTGATGCAAGCACAGACTGGTATAGAATAATCATTCAACTCATGCCTGTACTTAAGTCACTCACTTTCACAGCTATTTTTCTTTTGTCCCCTCTCACCTACTTTTGCTTCCTCTCCCTGAAGAATGGTCTTCACTCATGAGCACTGTCTCGTCAAGCCTTGTATGAAGTTCAGATGAGGAGTTTTTATGGAAATAGCGTTGCTCACTTGGGGAGCCATGTTATTACAAGCTATCTCGTGGTGATATCTGTCTTGTTTTTAAGACTACTCTTACTTCAGTGCCTTATAGCTTGACGATCATCTTTTTGAGCCATGTGAAGAGAGCTTCTTCTCAGAATTAATAGTCACTAAACAACACTCCTCTTGATATGGAGACTAATATGCATTGATTGTAAGGAATACTTTGCATTTTTATGTTGACAGGAGAGTCAGCTTATAAGGGATTCATTTGTATTTTTTTCTCCTGTTCCTGTGTTTAAGATGTGTACAAGGTGGAACCACGGCAATCCCAGGTGCCTTTGGGTGTGGAAAGACAGTGATTTCCCAGTCTCTCTCAAAGTACTCTAACAGTGATGTGATCATTTATGTTGGATGTGGGGAGCGTGGCAATGAGATGTCTGAAGTACTGAGAGATTTCCCAGAGGTTAGTTCAAGTTATTTTCAAACAGGAAATACTTTTAAAATTTGAAGTTATGTTTGCAGATAATTTTTTTAAAGAGAATATTCTGAATATCCAACTTGGATTCCTCAACTAGTTAAATGGGCATCAAGCTAGCTGAAGTGCAGAAATTCTCATTTAGTCTACTGAAATTGACTACCCTCTTGACAATCCTGACCCCAAACTCCTTTTCCCAAACATTAGCTTAGAGCTGAAAAGGTGTACACAAGAATCAATTTTAAAGTTTTTTTTTATTGTTTTATGCTATTTAAAATGGTGCCTGATTGTGGCAACAGTTGAAGCTTTTCACTGTATTTTCATGCAAGTGCAAGTGACAATAAATCATTCATTTAATAAATCTTTCTCCTGGCATGGGTGTTCCTACTTTAGATGATGCTATCTTACGTCTGCTATCTTAGCATTTGTAATTTTTCATCATGATTATTGTCTATTGATAGATTTGGTCTTCCAATCAACTCCTATTATTTAGCTATCCCCTGTTGGGTAAAGATGGCAGGGCTATAATTTTACTGATACTTTTTAAAATGAAAAAAACACACAGCATTGCAAGTTTATGTTTGTAGATAACTGAATAAGTGTGCCAAATGGCCGCCTCTGTCTAAATTTAGAATTTAGATCATTCTGGATGCTAATGTGCCCTATTTTTCTTGTTCCTTTTAGCTGACAATGGAGGTTGATGGAAAAGTGGAAAGCATTATGAAGAGAACATCCTTGGTGGCTAATACCTCAAACATGCCTGTCGCTGCCAGGGAAGCCTCCATCTACACAGGTTTAGCATTTAATTATTTTATATTTTAGTTTGCTGCATTGAATTGTGATTTGGTTGTATTGGCTTTTACTGGTTGAGAAACATTAATTGTTCTAACAATTAATTATTCACATCAGCGTGTGAATAGATCTTATTTGAAGGTAATCATACATTTACTTGTCAGTGTAGTAAGAGATAAGAAAAGATACCCTCAGCTCTACAATTAATAAGACAAATTTGTTACTGTTTGCTCCTGATTACCCAACCAACCTTCCTGACCTTTTATTTAAATGATTTAGGGCACCTTGCACCTTTGTTTTAAAACTGTTATTATCCCGTCCTTGAACAGCTATCTTTTCACTCCTTTAAAACTTATGTAGTAGTCCATCTCCACCCTTGCTTGTGTCTCCTATGTTTTGGATGTGTCGTTTCCTAGATCTGTGACAGTTGTTCCCTCAGTTCTGTGTTTGAATTTCTTCAAACTGACATTTACTAAACCCAAGTGTCTCACAATTTACCATGTAATAACCATGTACTGCTACCTCTCTGCAGCCTCTCACAGTTCATCAGTTGATTCTGAGTTCCACTGTCCAGTTTCTTGGAATCGTCTTGGTTTGTCGCCATTCAAATCCCAGCTGGAAGCTTCTCTTTTCAACCCTGAGATGTTATTTTGACAGTATTCAAAAGATTCATCCTTTCCTTTATCCTCATCTGTTGGCTGCTGTTTGGTGACAATATATCAAGCAGTGGACTGATGATGAACCCAATTCTTATCTATTGCTTCTCCCCTGCCAAGTGCAGAACTGGTGATCTGCTTACCGCACTACTCTATTATTACGATGTAATGAAATGATGCAGACTTCTCAAAGTTTATACTGAAATATTCTCTACTTAAATTTGTTTCTTCTTGTTTGACACATTTTAAAGGCATTACACTTTCTGAATATTTCCGCGATATGGGTTATCACGTTAGTATGATGGCAGATTCCACATCCCGATGGGCTGAGGCGCTCCGAGAAATCTCCGGACGTTTGGCAGAAATGCCTGCTGGTGGGTTTTTTGTGAACAGTGTTGCAACCAAATTAAATAATAGCGTACATTTTAGAAATGAGATCGTGATCAGGACAAATTCAGGTCATGCTGCAGGTTCCTCCTTGCATTTATTGGTATCAGTTTCTCCTGATACTCTTGAGGGTTTTCCTTTTATGGTAATTAAGTCTAACTTCCTCATTTCAGCAAATTTGATAACTGGCAGCTAATATGTAATAATGAAAAGCTTTTTGTTTCCAAAGGCGGACAACACTGCGCTGGGATGAGTTGAGGCTTAGTTTCAAATAATTAAAGCAACTTTACTTTTGCAAAAGGATGTACTAAGATGCCTTCTGCAAAGATTGTGTGAAAGATGCAATAATAGCAAGCATTAGTGTATCCTGGTTTTGCATTATTCTATGTTTCAGTAATGTGTATTCAGGGCTGAAGATCATATTGGGACTGCTTACTGAAATGCCATCCATCTCATCCTGAGGCTATCCAAGGCAAATCCAAAACATGTAGCTCAGATTCCATTTTTCTGAAAACAGTTGCAACTAGTGGAGTTTAATTTAAACAAATGTGAGATGTTGCATTTTGGTAAGGCAAATCAGGGTAGGACATAGACGGTTAATGGTCAGGTCCTGGGGAGTGTTGCCGAACGAAGAGACCTTGGAGTGCAGGTTCATAGTTCATCAAAAGTGGAGTTGCAGGTAGACGGGGTAGTGAAGAAGACATTTGTTACACTTGCCTTTTATTTGTCAAGGCATTGAGTATAGGTGTTAGGAGGTCGTGTTGCGGCTGCACAGGACATTGTTTAGGCCATTTTTGGAATACTGTTCAATTCCGGTCTCCCAGCTATGGGCAAGATGTTGCGAAACTTGAAAAGGTTCAGAAAAGATTTACAAGGATGGTGCCAGGGTCGGAGGGTTTGAGCTATAGGGAAATGCTGAATAGGCTGGGGCTATTTTCTCTGGAGTGTCAGAGGCTAAAGAGTGACCGTACAGAAGTTTGTAAAATCATAAGAGGTATGGATAAGGTAAGCAGCCAGGTGTTTTCCCCAGGGTCAAGAAGTCCAAAACTAGAGGGCATCGGGTTTAAGGTGAGAGGGGAAAGATTTAAAAGGGACCTAAGGGGCAACCTTTTCAGGCAGAATGTGGTGCTTGTATGGAACGAGCTGCCAAAGGAAAAGGTGGAGGCTGGTACAGTTACAAAATTCAAAGGCATCTGGATGGGTATATGAATAGGATGTGTTTAGAGGGATATGGGCCAAATGCTCGCAAATGGGACCAAATTAATTTAGGATATCTGGTTGGCATGGACGAGTTGGACCAAAGGGCCTGTTTTCATGCTGTACATCTCTGACTGTGATCTGACTTAGACCTGTACTTTCAGAAGACTGATATGATCCAAATATTTGATGCAACTAATCAAGATTGTGATAGAAGCTAACTTGATCTGTTTTTCTAGACAGTGGTTATCCAGCTTACCTGGGCGCCCGTTTGGCCTCGTTTTATGAGCGTGCAGGTCGGGTGAAGTGCCTGGGAAACCCTGAGCGAGAGGGTAGTGTCAGCATTGTCGGAGCGTAAGTCCTTAATCAAACTAGAAGCATTAGCCCTGTGTGCAAGGGAGTTGATCTCAATGGGAAGCTACTGATGCCTTATCTTGTCATTGCTTTAAAAAAATTAAGTACACTATGTCATGCTTATTTTGAATTAAAGTCTGCAATGATATGAAATGAAATTAAGAGTAATAATGCATGTTGTGTGATTTTTTTTTTCTCTCTTTTCACTCCGAGTTCTGTCATGCTTGAATCACAATATTATCATTTTGGTTCATTGTGCAGTTGGTTGTGGACAATTTTTAAAACCATCTCCACTGAAGACTTGATATGGATTTTTTTTTTATATATCCTGTGTCCTAGAAATCCACACGACAAACCCCAAAACACCACCTGAACAGTTCTGGGGCTTTGTGTATCTAAATTGCTTTAATCACAGTCTTAATCCGCTAATGAGGTTCTTAATCTGCTAATGAGGTTTGTGTCTTTTTAAGCACTCATGCAAAGCAATAAGAAACTCCCTCAAGATCTTAGATTAAACAAGGCAGTTCAAATTGTGCAATCCTGCTTGATTAACAGTTCAATGCTTGCTCTCACTTTCTACGGCATATCCTGCATTCTGGTGCTGCAGGATACAAGTTATCTATCAGGCAGTTCTGTATAGTTTCCACAGGATCCTTTAAAATCGCATCCAAAGGAAATGTGGTCTGTGGTATTCTTTCAAGTCAGTGGTAAAGTATTAGGTACTATTGGTGCATGAACAATAGCTTGTGTCACTCTTAACAGGTGGGTAATAATTAGACTATTTGATCATAGTGCTGTAGAAATTCAAAAAGTTCCTGCTTGCAAACCATTTTCAATCTAAGAAATCTAATATTTTGACATAATCTTGTACTAAAACCATCTATTAATATTATTTCTGAATGCTAATTGACTTTTTCTGGCTTTTTTCATTTATTCAAACTTTCACCTTTCCTTTTTCTCTCCTCTTGCCCTTTTGCACTTGTGGATTCTACCTTCTCCTGTTTTTATTACAAGTGGTTCTTTCAACAAATAATTTAAGTTGCATCTAGATTAGCTGCCTGTTAAAAGTTTTAGATGCTTTTGTCAACTCCCTAAACTAATCTTTTCTTTTATGGCAGTGTTTCTCCCCCTGGTGGTGATTTCTCCGATCCTGTGACATCAGCTACTCTTGGTATCGTGCAGGTAAACTGAAACAAATTTGAGCTTCTTCAGGCTTTTCATTTTTACCACTCCTGTTGGCAGCAGTAAATAAATTTAGAATGATTGATCTGTTATTATCTGCTTTAACATGCATTAGGTCACATTCAACTGCAATGAGGATGATTCAGTGTATACAATCGATCAATTTGAATTTTACCAAGGATGGAAAGTTTTGGATGTTTCTAACTCATGCAGTCATTCATATTTTTATGACATTTGTTAGTCTGCTTAAGAATTGATGTATTATCTATTAGCATTCCTGCATTTCCACATTTTGTCCCATATAAAACATTTTGATTTCTCTGAAATCCATCCACACAAAAAAAGAATTATTTTTGGCTGAGTGTTTAGAGGGCTCAGAATTTGCTGATTTGTGCATTCTGCTGTTTGGCTGGAATTATTCAGGAGCATACAATAAGAGCAGGAGTAGTTTATGCAGCCTGTCGAGCTTACCCTACAATGCAATACCATCATGGCTGATCTTGAGCTTCAGTTCCACTTTCCTAGCTGCTCCTACATCTCTTGACTTCCTGAGAGAGACTACAATATAGCTCTAAATGTAGTTAACAATGGAGAATTCATAACCCTGCGATCATGAGAATTTAAGATTCATAGTATTTTGCAGTCCTAAATGATCAATCCATTATCTGAGATTGTCCCTCTGTTTTTTAACTTCCCCAGCCCATGATAATCAGCCTGTCCGTGAACATATTATCACGCCCCTTCAAAATCTTGAACGTATGAATGAGATCACTGCCCATTCATCTAAACCTGAGTTCAGTTTGCTCAGCACTTTGTCATGTGGCAACCCTCAAACCCCTACAATCAATCTAGTGAGCTTTGCTGCACTATCCCAATGCAAATATATCTCTATTCTTAAATATGGTGACCTAATTACTTCAAGTGTGCTCTCACCAAATC